GAATTCATTGTTTATGCACCACCCCAGTGCTCCATGCAATATGTGCCCTCCATAATACCCACCACCAGGCTCACCCAACCTCCCACCCCCCACCCTTCCAAACCCTCATTGTTTTTCAGAGTCCACAGTCTCTCATGGTTCGTCTCCCCTTCCATTTTCCCCCAACTCCCTTCTCCTTTCCATCTCTCCGTGTCCTCCATGTTATTCCTTAGGCTCCACAAATAAGTGAAACCATATGATAATTGAGTCTCTCTGTTTGACTTATTTCACTCAGCATAATCTCTTCCAGTACTATCCATGTTGCTACAAAAGTTGGGTATTCATCCTTTCTGATGGAGGCATAATACTCCATAGGATATATGGACCACATCTTCCTTATCCGTTCGTCCGTTGAAGGGCATCTTGGTTCTTTCTACAGTTTGGCGACTGTGGCCATTGCTGCTATGAACATTGGGGTACAGATGGCCCTTCTTTTCACTACATCTGTATCTTTGGGGTAAATACCCAGTAGTGCAATTGCAGGGTCATGGGGAAGCTCTGTTTTTAATTTCTTAAGGAATCTCTACACTGTTTTCCAAAGTGGCTGCATATTTTTAAAGTAAGCTAGAGAAAAGAAAATTTTAAGAAAATTATAGGAAAAAATACATTTATAATACTATACTGTATTTACTGAGAGAAAAATCCACAAATAAGTGGATCCTCACAGTTCAAATCTACATTGTGTAGGGATAGACTGTATATTTGAATTCTAGCTTTGTGATATATTCATCATATGATCTTGGGGAACTTGCATATCCTCTCTGGCCTCAGTTTTGTCACAGATGATACTGCCCATCTCAGAGTTGTGGGCCTGGCAACACTTAGCACCATATAAATGTTAGCACTGATTAGTATTTTTTTTTTTTAGGTATTAGGTTTAGCTTATTAATCTTGTTTAAATTTTCTGTATCCTAGCTCATTTTGTTTAGTTACTATATCAGTTCTGAGAGGTAGTTATTAAATTCTCTCATTATAGTTGTAAGTTTGCCCATTTCTTCCTACAGTTCCAAACATTTTGCCTAGTTTTCAGGCTTTATTGTTATATGCCTACAGGTTCATTATTAGAGAGTTTTAGTGAATGATTCCTTTTATCAGGATAGATAACATGTTGAACTTAGCCAGTTCCTGTTTATCCTGATTACTGATACCCTTAGGGTTGCTTTTACCAACATATTTTGTGCTTTCTATTTACCAGTACTTCTTTATAACATCCAATTTTCCTTTAGAAACCTGGATGATTAATTTTAATAATTCATATATATTTATATTGTAGTATTATGCTATTTTGATTCACTGCTGTTGTTCTGCATTTACCATGCAGTTTTCCCTGGATTATCCAGAACATGGATTTATAACAGGTGTCTCAAAAATCTGTTTTGCTTAGACTGTGATATTTGCTTCTGGGATTTATAGGAATTGGGAGACACTTTGAATGCCCCAAATACTTGAAAGTGGGAAGCAAAAGTGGGCCTTGTAGTTTACGGTCCACACAGAGATTACAAGCTGGTTGATGACATCATTTTTGAAAGTACACAGCAATGAACGAAACTCACTGGTCCCTGTAACAAATAGCATATCAGTCAGCTGGATTTTAGTACCCAGTTACACACACTAAAGAAAAAGGATTCAGGTAAAGGAAAATGACCATGCAGCATGTTCTCAGTTAATAGCTGGAGGATTTATAACATTTTTAAAACTATATCTGGGATTACTTTTACTTTCCAGAAAGGGAGAAAGAGAACACTCCTATAATTAATACAAAGCAGAAAAAACTTTCATCTGTCTTACTGATTGCTGTGTCTCTGGAAGAGTGCCTGGCATATAGTAAATGCCCAAAAATATTTGTGAGCAAATTACAGTAGCAAAAAAAAAATTGTTATGGGACCTTCAAGAGCAGAAAGGATAGTGCCAATAAAAAAGATTGTGAGGGCTTCATAGAGGAAGTGGCAATTGAGTAGGGCTTTGGAGGATAAGTAGGATCTAGAGAGAAGAGTACTCTAAAGAGTACATGAGATAGAGTTTGGTCAGAGAAACAGACTACTAGAAATGAACATAGGAATTCATTTGAGAATTCATGAGAACATGGGATTCATTTTTGGAAAAACATGGAATAATTGTGGGAGCCAGGTGAACACCCTATGAACACTCTATAAGTTCAACTGTTGCATCCACGTCCAGTGTCAGGCCTAAAGTGGGCCTATAGCTGAGCAGGCAGTCAGAAGCAAAGAAGGATTAATGTAAAATGGGGAAGACCAAAGACGAATGCAACCCATGGGGCTGAGCTTGAATAGTATTGGTTTCTGAAGCCAGTGAACCTCCAGCTCAGAGGATTTTGGTGACCTGTAGGAGAATCCAACATCCTTCCTCACAGAGCTAAACATGCCTTGGGTCCTGGGAAATGGAGAAGCCTATGGAGGGTCCAGTGGGAGGTGGAGGAGCTGAGAGCCCCAGGCAGCCTGGGCCAACCAGGTGAACCAGCACCTGATGTCCTGTGGCAAACATCAAAGAACAAGAAAAAAAGGCACATCCATCTTCCAGATCTTACACAAAGTCACATGGTCCAGAATTACGCAGGGAAGGAAAGCCTGGAAAAGGCAGTTCTGGCTTAGCTAAGATGACCCAGGACACATTGTTCCAGAAGGGAAGATGAGGGCTTAGATAGGAGTGGTGTGGGAGGCAGAGGGAACCCATACTCTCCAGTGGGCCATCACCTCTGGGCACCCTTCCACTGGCCCTCCTGGGCAGAGATGGTCATTTTCTTTCTGACTGTCATCTCCACCCTGAGCCTCTGAAAGTGAGGGTTCCAGCATCACATGGTTTCTGCTAGGTTTAAAGGAAACACAAATGACTCAAACAGAACTTGGAACTTAAGAATCAGGAGCACAAGGGGCCCAACTCTGGGCCATGGGATGTAGTGGGAGTGTGAGGCAAGTGTGGGAGATAAGGCCCCCCTGCTCTCTGAGAGATTTTTTTTGGATTTACTCATGTGTTGTTTACTGAGTGCTCTTCATGTGCCACACACTGCTTCTAGGAACCAGGGAAACAGCAGGGAACAGAGCAGAATCCCTGCCCCCATCCAGCTTACCTTCCAGTGAGGGAAACAGAGTGAAAGAGTAGACGTGTAATTGACATTAGGCCATGATATGTATTTTGAGGAAGACAGATGAAGATGGGAGAAAGTGAGATGGGGTGGTATTTTAGAGAAGGTGATCGGAGAACAATAATCCTGGGAAATATTAATTTGAGTATTCACTGTGTAGCTAATACATTTCAAAGACTTTATATTTATTGGTTTATTTAATCCATGACAACCTAATGTTCCCAAAATTACATCCTTAAGAAGAAGAACTGGGAACTAAATATAGGTGTCTGGTACCAGAGCTTAGGATTTAAGTCAGGGAAGGTCTCTTGGTTGAGGTTAGTGAAATGAGGGAGCAGGCCATGCAAATATTATAGAGAAGAGCATTGCAGGCAATGGAATAGCTAGTTCAAGGCCCTGGGACAGGTGCATGCTTGCTGTTTGGGGAGGGTAAGACCAGGAGTTCAGATCGGGACATGTTGAGGTTTGAGAAGTTTATTAAGCACCTAAGTGAAATCTGGAGGACAGTTGGATATTCAAGTCCAAACCTTAGGGTAAATCTTAGAAATAGATTAAGTTTGTTTATCATTGGTATTCATGGAACTAGATGAGATGCTGGTAAGAGAGAGATGAGGAGTGAGAGAGAGAAGTTCAAGGACTAAGGTGAGGGGCAGAAGAGCAGGGGACTTGAGCAGAAGACACTAAGAAAGAGCAGCTGGCGAGGGAGGAGAAAACCCAGGAGAGAGAACTTCTTGCTGGAGGGAGTGACCAGATATTTCCAGTCCTGCAGGGAAGCTTAGTTAGCTGAAGCCTGGGGAGTGACCACTGGATTTGGCAACACAGAGGTCATCATTAAACTTGACATTGGTGACCTTTAATAAACATTATAGTACCTGGAAGGGCAACCAAAGCAATTTCATGCCAGGTTGAGAGGGAATTGGAGCCCCATACCTCATCCTCCAGCCTCAGCTCTACCCCTTCTGAACTCTGTGGACCCCAGGGACATATCCCAAGGTCTCTGGAACACAAGTTGAAAACCACAGATGTAACCAACTCCTTTGCTTTACAGTTGATGAAGTTCTGGGCCAGAAAAGGGAAGAGACTAGCTCAAGGCCATGCAACTAATTGGTGGAAACCCCAGGCTGCAATTTAACATTATTTAATGAGATTTGCCAATGAAGACATCAGTTCCTAGCCTGTCTTACTAGTGTGTTCCATAGACAATGGTTACTGTGATAAGTAGACAAATAAAAAAAAAGAACATCCTTTTCACCTTTTATTTCTGTGGAAAGGGGAGAATGATAACATGAACAATTTTAATTCATAGAAAATTCCTAGGCCTGAGTGTTCACTCATGGTTTCCATATTCTCCTCCCACTACACCCCTTTTCTCAATTGTATGGTCATTCAGCAAGTTCCATGTTCTCTGATCCTATGTCATGAGATGTCACAGGCTGCCACCTTAAAATGGGCATTGTAATAATAGCGGTTATTCACATGGATCAGTAGTTGTTGCTGGCAGTGTTTTCTGATCTGCATAGCAGTCCCAGGGTCAGACCCACTGGCTGCATGTCCCATTTCCACCTCTCACTGATGGTGGGACCCTGGACAGGTTACCTACCATCTCTGTGCTTGACTTTCATCAAATGTGTGAAGTGCTTGGTCAATGGAAGATAGGATACAGGGATAAGGGCTACTGCTGCTCTTAAGCCAGGCACTGTAATAGGCATTGAATTGTCCCAGGTCTCATCATGCCAGGCCTGTGGACTGTGCACCAATTATGGATCACCGGGGCTCTTTCTCCTCTGCTTTCTGGTTTGATAAGCCTGGGTTGAATTAGGGAGGTGTACTCAGTCTCATCTTGCAACTGTTTTTACCTTAGGATCCATGCTTGAAGCTGAATAAACCTCAGAGCCTGCCCAAAGGAGAAGAGTATCACGATAAGTTAGCAGCTGAAGAAGGAACCAGCAGTGACGAAGAAGAAAGGTATAAGAGGACACGCAAGCTTGCAAGTGCTCCAGTGAATGAGGACTCAGCTTTGGGAGGATTTGTTCATTCATTCATTCATTCATTCATTCCTCAAGTGTTTATCACTGCCCCTTGCATCACACTTAGGAAGGGAACATATGTGTTTTGTATGTTCTCAGTACAGCTGTGGGCTTAACACAACTTATCTTATTCCATTGTTACACCAACCTAGAGAGGCCATTTTATAGATTAAGAACCAGAAACTCAAAGAGGTTAGTAAACCTGCCTAAAACTCAGCTGGCCACAAATCTCTGCTCCTTATCCTTTAACTAGGAGACATGAGGGAGCTTTGTCGCTGATGGGAGATACCCCATCTCTGTCATCTATATTAGTCAGCTTTTGCTGCTGTAACAAACATTCCCAAAATACCAGTGATTTTTACCTCCTATGTCAGCTACCTGTATCTTGGCTCCTGCCTGAAGGTCAGGCATCATTGCCTGCCCCAAACTGTGGGTTAAGTTCAAGTCTTGTCATTCTGGGGCTGAGACTGAAATATTATCCTCTACCTGGAGCATGTTATTGTCATGGTAAAGAGAAGAATCTCAAAAGAGCTGATGAAAATATGCAGTGCCTCCTAAATCCTGTGCTCAGAACTGCATCCTCTCATTTCTAGTCATATTCCACTGGCCAAAGCAGGGCACATGACCAAATTATCACTGGACAGAGAAGACTATGCAGTCCACATGTCCTATGGTCAGCTCTGGCTGCTGTAACAAAATCCCACAGATTGTATGGCCTAAACAACAAAAATTTATTTCTCCTAGTTCTAGAGGCTGGGAAGTCCAAGGATAAGATGCTGGTCCACTCAGTCTCCTGGTGAGAACTCTGCTCCTGGCTTGCAGATGGCCATCTTCTTTCTGTGTCCACACATAGCGAAGGGGATTGGAGGGGTGGGAAAGAGAAAGGTTTGTAAGGGAGAGGTCTCTTTCATGTCTCTTGTTATAAGGGCACTAATCTCACCATGAGGACTCCACCCTATTGACCTAATTACCTCCCTAAAGCTCCATCTCCTAATACCATTACACTGAGCAATAAGTTTCTACATATAAATTGGGGGGAGGAGGCATAACCATGCAGATCATAGCCTTGGGGAAGCAGGGTGTAAACCCCTCAGCCAGACCATAGCCTATAGCCCAGTGAACTCCCAGCTACTAATACTTCCACTGAATCCTCCAGATTTTGCCTCAGAATCTATGAGGCACATAAGAACAGCTGTGAAGGAGGACAGACTTTGGACTCAGGTTTCCAGATTACATCCTTACTACTGGCAACCAGAAACCTTGTCCTGCTTATAACTCACAATTCCAGAGAGAAAGAGTCTTTTTCCTAAAATTATGACAGAAATTTCAAAGAGGTCTCTAAGATACCCAGCTTGGGTCACATGTTAATTCCTGAGCCAATCACTCTGGCCACAAAGATGCAGTGCTCTGACTGGCCAGCATTTGTGACACATCCTCCCCTGGTCCCATCTGAGGGTGAGGGCAGAGTGAGCTGCTCTTAAACTCTGTGGACTAAAAAGAAGCACATGGAAAGAGGAAAAGCTTTCCCAGGGAGAGGATGCTGAGCATACCAACAGTAGGTGGTGATCACAACAGCTTTATCTTTTTCTCCTGTGGGTGGTGGTTTCAGTAAGGGATTGTCCTCAACTATAGAAGCAAAATAGGAGGGGCTCTGGCAGTCACTCCCACAAGGTTTTTTTTTTTTTAATTTTTTAAATTTTTTTTACTTTTTTTAAAATTTATTTTCAGCATAACAGTATTCATTGTTTTTTGCACCACACCCAGTGCTCCATGTAGTCCGTGCCCTCTCCAATACCCACCACCTGGTTCCCCCAATCTCCCACCCCCCGCCGCTTCAAACCTCTCAGATTGTTTCCCACAAGGGTTTTGGTGTGAAGAGAAGAGCTAAGCAGTGATAGGGAAGGACTAGAAAGGAAGGACTAGGCACCCTGAGCTCTAACATCAGAAGTTGCAGAAAAGAACAAAAGCAGTGGCTCCTTGGGGGCAAGGTTGCATATTTAGTAGTTAGCTTCATGGGGAATGCTGGTCAGGACACTGGATTTTTTGGCATGGTAGCTCTGAAAAGGGACGTGGCTTTTCCATGGGCTTAAGGTCAAATTCAGAAGAGCAGATTAGGATCAGCTTTAATGAGGAGGGATGGGGGACATTAGGAGAGTCAGCTCACTTAGTGATGGGTGGCAGGATGAAATTGGCTCTTTAGGAGGAGGTGAGGAAATTTGAGGCACTAGAATGGGGTCAGAGAGTGAAATCTCATTAGTAGTGTTCCAGGGAGTAATGATGGTGATAAAAATAATAACAAATATTTATTGAATGCTGAAGTGTGATAAGCACATTAAAATGATTAACCCATTTAATCTTCAATACATAGATATTATTATTGAAGTACCTCACTTCAAAGATGGAGAAAACAGAGGAACAGGGAGGTCAAGTAAATTACCCAAGGTTACACTGCTAGTACATGGTAGTATTGGATGAGTTTCTCTGATGCCAGAATCACAGTTTCAGCTACATCTCAATTAAGGGCATCTGTTCTGTGCAAAATGAAGAGACACAGGTCTTCCACTTTTCCAGATCACTTGATCCTTTAATAGTCAGTAATAAGAACTGAAACTTACACCTCCAGCCATGGACTTCCAGTCTGGCTTGAGTTCCTCTTTCTGTAAATAGCTATAAAACTGGGCAAAACATATGAAGGCACAATATGCAGAAGACTGTGTTCTTGAGAAGGGAAGCATGGGTCAAGTCCCATGATCACCCACCATTGCCCTTATTTTTCTTCCTGCGGGGAGTTGCCAGCTGTAGCAAAAGAGGTGGAGTAAGCTGAGCTGGGAAGGCAGACATCAGAGCTCAGGGGTGGTAAAGTGGCTGGAATCTGTGAGGTAAGGTATCTGAACAGGTAGTTCTATGTCAGGGGAGGAAGGAAAGAAGACTATGAAGATTTGCTGTAAGTCCTTGGACAAGGGCTTGAGAGAACACACAAGATGGTGTTCCATGGGGCTTGATGTGTGTGGCTGCTGTGGTGTTGAGTAAATGAAAAATCCCAGAGGACAGGTCGTGCTGGTAGATGTTGCAGTCCCAGCTTACTTGGGATAGAGAAATCTTCCAAGGCAATACAGGCTTTCAGTGGAGACCTCATGGAGGTCATACTTTATGGGTAAGAAACACATCCATACTCTAGAACAGAAGACAATATTGAAATGCACCAACTCTAACGAAAGACAAGCTCAAACCTAAAAGGATCAGAAAAGGCCTTCAGTAGTTTTAGCTGCCTGGCAGAACAAAAATCAACACCTTTGAAAGGAAGACATAATCTAGACTTCCTGTTATTCAGTATTATATTTATTATATTATATTAATTATATTATCCATAATATGCATCATACAATAAAAACATGAGAATGCAAAGAAGCAGAAAAATGTGACCCGTAATCAAGAAAGAATATCAGCCAATAGAAACAAACCCTAAAATGACCTTGATGTTGGAATTAGCAGAGAAGGACTTTAGAACAATTTTAAGAGGTATGTTCAATGACATGAAGGGGAGACCGTTATAATCAGTGAACATATAGGGAATTCAAAAGAGACATGAAAACCTTGAAACAAAGGGAAATTCTGAAACTGTAAAGTACAGTATTCAAAGTGAAAATCTCACTGGTGTGTGTAATAGCCAACTGGAGACCCTGAAAGAAAAATTAATCACTTGAATACAGATTAACAGAAACTATCTTATCCAGAGAATAAAGGGGGGAAAAATTTTAATGGAGAGATCCTCAGTGACCTGTGGGACAAAATCAAATGGTCTAACATGCATGTAGTTGGAGCCCAGGAGGAAGAAGAGAAAGAAAATGAAGCAGGAAAATATTTGAAGAAATAATGGCTGAATAGTCTTTCAACTTGGTGAGGAACATCAACTTACACAGTCAGGAAGCTCAGTGAACTCCCAACAATATAAATCCAAAGACAACATCATAGATACATCCTAGAAATCCCTGGATACATCCAAGAAAAGTTGCTGAAAATAAAAGATAACCCCCAAAGTCTTAAAAGACAAATTACAAATACAGGGAACACTTGAATTCTCATGAGTACTAGTGACAATTAACTCCTTCTTGGCCTTCCAGCCTCATACTCTTTCTGCTTTCCAAAAAACACCTGAACATTATCATTAAAGTCCTAAAAGGCAAAACAAACAAACAAAAACAAAAACAAAGGGGCTGATATCCAAGATCTATAAAGAACTCCTCAAACTCAACACTCAAAAAACAGATAATCATGTCAAAAAATGGGCAGAAGACATGAACACACACTTCTCCAATGAAGACATAAAATGGCTAACAGAAACATGAAAATATGTTCATCATCACTAGCCATCAGGGAGATCCAAATCAAAACCACATTGAGATACCACCTTACGCCAGTTAGAATGACCAAAATTAACAAGACAGTAAACAACGTGTGTTGGAGAGAATGTGGAGAAAGGGTAACCCTCTTACACTTTTGGTGGGAATGCAAGTTGGTGAAGCCACTTTGGAAAACAGTGTGGAGATTCCTTAAGAAATTAAAAATAGAGCTACCCTATGACCCTGCAATTGCACTACTGGGTATTTACCCCAAAGATACAGATGTAGTGAAAAGAAGGGCCATATGTATCCCAATGTTCATAGCAGCAATGGCCACAGTTGCCAAACTGTGGAAAGAGCCAAGATGCCCTTCAATGGATGAATGGATAAAAAAGATATGGTCCATATATACAATGGAGTATTATGCCTCCATCAGAAAGGATGAATACCCTACTTTTGTATCAACATGGATGGGACTGGAGGAGATTATGCTTAGTGAAATAAGTCAAGCAGAGAGACTCAATTATCAGATTGTTTCACTTACTTGTGGAACATAAGTAATAACACAGAGAACACTGGAAGTTGGAGAGAAGTTAGG